CTCAACATCTGAAATATCTGTTAGGAAATTGGCTTAATTTCTTTTAGATAGGTTTCTTGTTTTGTGTGGAAGCAACTAGTTTCCTAATTGATTTTAGTTACTTGAAGTAATAGTCAAAGAATATTCTATTTAGTTTAGAATTAGAAGTTATTTCCTATTATGTACAAGTCTAGGAATTAGAATTGGTTTCCTATTATTATTTGAGTTTTAACCAAATAATGTTCCCTATAAATAGGTGAATTGGCATACTACACAAGAGACACACAAGGGGCACACAAGAGGCGGCATGTAGTCTTATACATAGGGTGAGATAGGATTTTTTGGAGATTAGAGATGGTATACAAAGGTTGGATTTGGGTTCAAATTATATTTTTGTATAGGATTTTCCTCTCATAATAAAGAATGGGTTTTCTCTCCGTGGACGTAGACTCAATGGTGGAGCCGAATCACGTTAAATATTGTGTGTCGTTTATCTTTCATACTTGTGGTTTGTTTCTCATCAAATTGTTATGCACTTGATGTCTCAATAGTTGTTTATTCCGCGCTTGAATTCTAACAAGTGGTATCAGAATTTCAGGTTGCGAGACTGGGCAATAGAGCAAAATTCGTGGTTGGATCCTAGTTAACTATTGAAATCAAGTAGATTGGTAGTTGTTACTAATTGAACAATTTAATAAGTGGTATTTTTGTTTCAATGGTGACAGGTCATCAGCCTGTGCAATAATAAATACCTGCTCAAACTAAAAATAATTTTTGGAGATAGTGGTGAGCAGGGTCGAATCCACAGGGACTGGGAGTAATTGTTTCTTTTCAAGTTCACAATGACAAGGGGGTGTTTTTGTGCAGAAAGTGACAATCAAATAAATTCAAATAAAATCTAAGAGACTACTAAAAATTAAATAACAAATTACTAAAATCAAATGAATGATAATTAAGAATCTAGCCAAGGAATAACTTCAGCAATGGTTCACCTAATTGATCATCGATAAGCAAAGGCAATTCCAATTATTTACTAATAAATAGGTTATAACTGCCAAACAAGCGATGGCAGTCAACCCCTCCTTACTGTGTCGGTGATCAAGGTACGCTCGTTAATCACTGCTCTAATTGAGAAATAATCCTAGGTACGCCCGTAGAATTTAATTCCCCAATTACCTTACGTATTAGAGGAGCCCTATTCTAACCAAATAACGCACTACCAGGGTTATTTTAGATTAGCCCGCGTATCCCCACTGACACGAATCTAATCGTGCCAGTTGTCACTATTTTGAGGTAATTAAACAATTACGGATTCAATACCCCAATTGACAATAGATTACCAAATCAATTAATTATCTGGATCCAAGACAATCAACTAATTAAATAACCATAAACATAGTAATCAGGGAATACACGAATACCAATAAATAAAAGGGAAAGATTAAATTAAATCGATCTCACAGTTTTCAGGTGACCCAAAGCATCCGTCGTTTCTTGACTAGAACGAGGGGATTAGCTCATATTGGATGAACTAAGCCCGCAGGAAATTTCAGCAGAAGTCACGGCCATTGTATGCATTTCAAGAGCCGCAATTCGTCAAACACTTAGTAAGCAAATGTAAGGCACAGGTAACAAATTGAAGCCCTTTATTGTTCCTAGCATCCGCAGAGCAAAATCAGTCACAAGGTGCAAGAAGGAAAAGTCAAAGAAAGCTGACAAAAAGCTTCCTCCTCACATTCGTACATGTCTTAAGCCAAAAAGTAAAGTACAAGGGAAAAGTCAACAATTTTCTTTGCTAAGCTAAAGACGAAAAGCTCAGAATTAAGCCAGCCCCCTTTTTGATCCTTTATCTTCCTTCTTATTGCGGCGGCTCACCAGGAGGGAGAAGCCCTCCGTCAGTCATTCCTTTGCGAAAATTACCAAAATGGGCGTGACATCTCGTGTTCCAAAAGTGCCCCTGGGACAGCTTTATCATCTGAATTCTTTTCCTGTCAATTTGGCACCTGTTATCATATTTTCGTTCTACTCCCTGAAATATACGTAAATTAAGGAAAATGAGTAGAATCCAGCAATTAATCCACATCAAGTCAGGTAATAGGGGAAAATAATAATAAAATAAATAGATAAATTTTAGCCTATCAATTCCCCCCACACCTAAACTTTGCTTGTCCTCAAGCATAAGACACCAAAATTTGATAATGGTCATTGCCCAATCTACCAAATTGCCAAGATATTCAAGAAAGAACCACATATCGGGCACTAGTAATTAAAATCCGAGAGGCATCCCCCCAGTTAGCCTCTAAACCACAAACTCCTTCAATTTCCAAATTAACTAATCTAAGGAAAAGGAATGGCACGCAACATTTATCAGCTAATGGTCCAAATATTCACACAAGACCCCATATTAAGTCCATAAACTAGCAAGCTCTCCTATTATTTATTCTCCCCTTTTTTTTGTTTTTTTATTTTTTTATTTATTTATTTTTTTTAAGCAATCATAATATTTGACACAAGAAGACTTAGTCTCTAGCCGCCGGAGCCTTTTGACGCGGACTCCAACATTTTTAGATGAAGGAGCCCGGTTACTCAGCTCCTACCGCTATACGACCACGTACTCATATAAAGCACCACCTTTTGACGCGAAAATCGACACTTTTAGGTGCCGATTCCCGGTTACTCAGTAGTGGTTATTAGCGGAGTACAGTCAAGTTTATTCACAACCAAACAAAGCCAAAAACACGAAATACCAACACTAGCAACCAAGCATAGGGGCAGCTCGCCTCATTATTGCCAAACATGGAGAACTGGAGTCAATATTGGACCAGTTCACCTCAAAATGCCAACAGTCATTCCCAACGCCTAGAAAAGTTAACAAAGAAATCAAAAGAGCCAAGCAATCCGATATTCACCAAGGAGATATCTTGGATCCAACCACATCAATCCCGATACCTTTGTATTTAAAAACTTGGCAAAAGTAGACTTGGAGTCAATAAGTCCACATCTCAATTTTTGGCATTCACATGAAAGGTAAGCACCAAGACGAAAGAACGAAAACGAGCAACTAGAAATAAAACTAAGAAAAACTACTAAAAAGTAAAAATTTTTTTCTTTTTTTCTTTTTTTTTTTTTACTAAAAACGGAAAACACTAGCACCCCCTTAGATCCCCCCACACCTATAGGACACATTGTCCTCAATGTGACAAATAACCAACAAAAGTGGGTGAGAGGACAGCAACACTTCCCTGAAATCCGGTCAAAGAGGTGGGCGAGGTGGAGCTGGAGGAGCAAAGCCCGTATGATGCAGAAATTGCGCCAAATTCTCACCATGTCTCTCAACAGTTAGCTCAAAGCTACAGAAGCTCCAACAGGTATGGAAACCAGCAAATGCAACTAGCAAAGGAAACTCAAGCAGAACAAAGCAAGAATTTCCCAGTAATCACCCAATCAATAACAAAAAAGAAGAATTCCAGCAATTAAAAATGCCCAGTCAAAGCCTTCCCACTTCAAAAGTTGAAGCTATCAGTCAGAGGGTCCCCCAACAATGAAATTGTGCAAGATGAACCCCACAAAGTAAGTCAAACGGCACAGGATCTCACTCAATATGCAATAGCAGAATTAACTCAAGCAAAGCCCCCATAAAACCTCAATGATTCCCCCAGCAATGCAAGCAAAATAGACCTCAGCAAGACAATCCAACAAGCAACGTTGGGTTCAAAGGCTCCTTCAAATCGAACAAATAATCATAGCATTGTAACACATTCAAAATCTCAATAAACGGCTCCAGTTGGCCAATTAATTGCACAATGTCACCCAATCCCAAAAGAAATAGCAGTTCCAATCAACAATAGTCCGACCAGTACCACTGGCGGAAAATCACACAATTGGGGAAAAGACTTCCACACGGCCAAAATACCCACTGCTGACGAACCCAGATAGCACGATTCAATTTGTAGAAAATTGGGAGTAAGATTCAAATACCTCCACTGGTACCACTCCAGGTGACGGGCAGAGCAGCGGCGGCGCACGATGGCAACACCAATGGTGTCGGCTTGGGCTGGTGGAGCGCGCGGCAGGGGAGCAGAGCTCGCGCGAGGGCTTCGGGTACAGCCAAGAGAGAGACAGATGGGCAGCTGTGGAGTGCTGCCGCGGCTGGCGCAGTTGTCGCCGCGCTCCAGAGAGAGAGGTGAGTGAGTGCAGGGGGCTGGAGCTGCTGACTGAAGGCGCGGCTGCCAAAGTGGATGGCGGAGGCTACTGGTGGCCGGCTGCCGCGCGAGCTGCGCCTGAGAAGCTGGCCCGCGCGCGAGGCTCTATGGGTCTCGGCCAAAAGGGGCGGCGGCGCAAGCTGCGGTTGGTGGTTGGAGCCGCTGGTCGATGGCGAGGAAGGGCGGGAATGGGAGGCGGCTTGCGCAGAGGTGGGCGGCGCGAATTGAAAAGAGAAGAAGAAAGAAAGAAAAGAGAAAGAAGAGAAAGAAAAAAGAGAGAAATTGATGTTTTTTTTTTTTTTTTTTTTGATGAGGCTCTTTGAGCCACGGAAATTTTTATTTTTTGTTTTTTTTTTGAACAATTTTTTTTTTTTTTTTTGAAATTTGGAAACTAAAGCTACGGTGATAAGAAATGTTTATTCTATATATATATATATTTTTTTTGAATCCTTACCTTTCCTGCGAACGTGACGCGGGCGCGTCATGAGGGCAAGAGAGCTCCCAGAAGTTTCAGAAGTTTCTGATCGTGAGCTCCCTGCACATCACCACGCGGGCACGTCATGAGGGCAAGAGAGCTCCCAGAAGTTTCAGAAGTTCCTGATCGTGAGCTTCCTGCACATCACCACGCGGGCGCGTCATGAGGGAAGGGCACCTATAAATCAGCAAAAACGAAAACTGAAACCCAAAATCAGTCGAATTCAAGGAGAGCACATCTAAACTACCACACGAAAATGAACAAACCATTAAAAGGAACAATTGGGTTGCCTCCCAAGGAGCGCCTTTCTTTAATGTCTTTGGCTAGACATTGAACACCACTCTTCAATCTGGGTGTAACTCAATTTTCCTGGAAATCGGTGGCCCTCCCCCAGGATCCAAATAGCCTTTGAGTGCAGCCTTCTTTCTTAATTTTCTACTCCTTTTCACCTCATACAGTGCTTTCATCCCCTTATACTTGTTCTCAGTAAGTTTGAATTTATCCCTACAAGCAAACTCAGAAAATTCTTGCACAGAAGGATTAATAGCATGAATAGCAAACACAGGGTGAGAGTTAACAGGATGTTTCATTGTATCGAAAATATTAAAGTGGACTAGTTCTCCATCAAATTCCATGGACAATGTACCCTTATTAACGTCAATTTTTGTCTGTGCTGTGCTCAAAAAGGGTCTACCTAGTAGCAAAGGTGAGGGGTCAGGGGAATGATCATCATCCATGTCAAGTACATAAAAGTCAGCCGGGAATATCAATTCATTAACTTTAACCAGCACATCCTCGACCAACCCATCAGGGTATGCATTTGTTCGGTCAGCTAATTGAATTATTATCTCGGTTTCTTTTAATGGACCGAGATTCAAAGAAGCATATATAGATTTTGGCATTACGTTGATCGATGCTCCTAAATCCAGCAAGGTATTTCTAATCAGAGTATTACCTATCTTGCATGGGACAGTAAACCTACCTGGATCCCCACACTTTGGTGGTAGCTTTCTTTGGAGAACTGCTGACACATTCTCCCCAACAATAACTCTTTCATCTCCCCTCAGCCTCCTTCGATTGACACATAGGTCCCTCAGAAATTTTGCATACTTCGGCACTTGCTTGATGGCGTCTAGTAGGGGGATATTGATCTCTACCTTGCGAAACACCTCCAGGATCTCTTTCTCCTTGTCCTGTTTCTTCGATTTTTCCAACCTGCAAGGAAATGGAGGGGGATTAGTTTTAACTGTAATTACTGGGTCTGGAAGTACCTTTAAATCTGCACCATTGCTGTCCTCCCTCTCAAGTTCATTTTCGATCTTTTCCTCATCCTTATTCTTAGGGATCATAGGTTCAGGCCCCTGAATTTCCTTCCCGCTCCTTAAAGTCATTGCGCTTACGTTCTTCAGGTTCAGTTCAGGTTGGGATGGCAATCTTCCATTTACTTGGGACTCCAAACGGTTGATTGTTGTGGCCATTTGACTTATCTGACTCCTTATATCCTGCATTTCGGAGTCCGTCCTTTGTTGATTTTGCGCCATGGTTGTCATCATTTGTTGATTTTGCGCCATGGTTGTCATCATTTGTTTCATCATCTCCTCCAAAGATGGACCAGAGCTTGGGGGCGGAGGTGGTCGGGATTGGTATTGCTGCTGGTACCCTGGTGGCTTATTTGGCACAAAGTTAGACTGCCTGTTCGGTGTAAAGTTGGGTTGCCTATTCCCTCCATAACTGAGGTTGGGATGATCTCTCCACCCGGGGTTGTAGGTGCTTGAGTAAGGGTCGTACTGCTTCCTTGGCGCGGGCGCGTGGTCAGCCATGTTCACCTGTTCTGCAGTTTCTTCCTGAATCATTGGGCACATATCTGCAGAGTGACCTATACCAGTGCAAATCCTGCATACCCTGGCTTGTAATGCATTTCTCACAGCCTGTTGCCTAACAAACGCGGTCAACTCAGTTAGCTGCTACTGCATGGAGGGTGTCTCTACCTCATTCACCCTGCGTATTGGACAATCCTCTCTCGTACCGAATTGTTGCGAATTCTCTGCCATCCTCTCAATCAACTCCCGTGCTTCTTGAGGGGTTTTGTTCACCAGTGCCCCTCCACTTGCAGCATCAATTATGCTCCTGTCCCTAAAAAGGAGTCCCTCATAAAAATACTGAATGAGCAACTGCTCACTTATCCGGTACTGGGGACACTTGTGCAACAAGAAGTTGAACCGTTCCCAATACTCATAGAGCGACTCCCCTGGATGCTGCTTGATCCCACAAATTTCTTTTCTTAGACTTGCAGCCCTGGACGCAGGAAAATATTTATCCAAAAATTTTTTCTTCAATTGGTCCCACGTGGTGATGCTACCTGGTGACAGGTAGTATAGCCAGTCCTTTGCAGAATCCTTCAAGGAAAAAGGGAATGCCCTCATTTTTATCTGCTCTTCTGTAATCCCCGAGGGCTTCATACTGTTGCATACGACATCAAATTCCTGCAGATGCTTATACGGCTCTTCACCTGGTAAACCATGAAAAGAGGGTAAAAGAGCAATCAAACCAGATTTTAACTCAAATGAAATGTTTTCACTCAAACGCGGGAAAGTAATGCACAAAGGCTGCTGATTTAGATTAGGGGCAGCCAACTCCCTTAATGTTCGTGCATTAGCCATGGAAATTTCTTCTTGCTCCGAGTCACTCGAAGTGTCACCAAATGAATCTGTTGGTTCAAAACCTGACTCAGGTCTCTGAGATGTAGCACTGGAGTGCTCCTCTCTGAGCTGTCTGGTTTCCTTCCTCGTTCTACGCGCGGTCTTCTCTACTTCAGGGTCAAAAATCAAATCACCTGTACGAGAAGATCGAGGCATACACTAGAAGAAAACCAGAAAATTAGGACAAAAAAAATGAATTTAAAAAGAAACAAATAATAACGCCAGTCCCCGGCAACGGCGCCAAAAATTGATAGGTCGTCAGCCTGTGCAATAATAAATACCTGCTCAAACTAAAAATAATTTCTGGAGATAGTGGTGAGTAGGGTCGAATCCACAGGGACTGGGAGTAATTGTTTCTTTTCAAGTTCACAGTGACAAGGGGGTGTTTTTGTGCAGAAAGTGACAATCAAATAAATTCAAATAAAATCTAAGAGACTACTAAAAATTAAATAACAAATTACTAAAATCAAATGAATGATAATTAAGAATCTAGCCAAGGAATAACTTCAGTAATGGTTCACCTAATTGATCATCGATAAGCAAAGGCAATTCCAATTATTTACTAATAAATAGGTTATAACTGCCAAACAAGCGATGGCAGTCAACCCCTCCTTACTGTGTCGGTGATCAAGGTACGCCCGTTAATCACTGCTCTAATTGAGAAATAATCCTAGGTACGCCCGTAGAATTTAATTCCCCAATTGTCTTACGTATTAGAGGAGCCCTATTCTAACCAAATAACGCACTACCAGGGTTATTTTAGATTAGCCCGCGTATCCCCACTGACACGAATCTAATCGTGCCAGTTGTCACTATTTTGAGGTAATTAAATAATTACGGATTCAATACCCCAATTGACAATAGATTACCAAATCAATTAATTATCTGGATCCAAGACAATCAACTAATTAAATAACCATAAGCATAGTAATCAGGGAATACACGAATACCAATAAATAAAAGGGAAAGATTAAATTAAATCGATCTCACAGTTTTCAGGTGACCCAAAGCATCCGTCGTTTCTTGACTAGAACGAGGGGATTAGCTCATATTGGATGAACTAAGCCCGCAGGAAATTTCAGCAGAAGTCACGGCCATTGTATGCATTTCAAGAGCCGCAATTCGTCAAACACTTAGTAAGCAAATGTAAGGCACATGTAACAAATTAAAGCCCTTTATTGTTCCTAGCATCCGCAGAGCAAAATCAGTCACAAGGTGCAAGAAGGAAAAGTCAAAGAAAGCTGACAAAAAGCTTCCTCCTCACATTCGTACATGTCTTAAGCCAAAAAGTAAAGTACAAGGGAAAAGTCAACAATTTTCTTTGCTAAGCTAAAGACGAAAAGCTCAGAATTAAGCCAGCCCCCTTTTTGATCCTTTATCTTCCTTCTTATTGCGGCGGCTCACCAGGAGGGAGAAGCCCTCCGTCAGTCATTCCTTTGCGAAAATTACCAAAATGGGCGTGACATCTCGTGTTCCAAAAGTGCCCCTGGGACAGCTTTATCATCTGAATTCTTTTCCTGTCAATTTGGCACATGTTATCATATTTTCGTTCTACTCCCTGAAACATACGTAAATTAAGGAAAATGAGTAGAATCCAGCAATTAATCCACATCAAGTCAGGTAATAGGGGAAAATAATAATAAAATAAATAGATAAATTTTAGCCTATCAAATGGCTTGATAAAAAGTGTTAATGGTAAAGGATGGAAAGTCGAAAAACATGGAGATGCTTGACGGTGAATCTAGACAGGTGATTCAAGAGTCAAGGAAAAGATGGAGTCTAATATTGATTTTGAACATGAATCGTTCGAGACTTTCTCACACCTCCAACAGTTAATACTTTATCCCGGTGGATTTTAGATTTTGGTTATGTTCTTTGGGTGGTGTGACACGTATCCTAAAGAAATAAAGAAATCTAATTTTCATGCGCCAGAAGACTCTGAAAGTTGCGTGTTTTTCGTTTTAGGTGGAGTCTTGGAAACCATATGTGGCGAGACAATCCCGAGGATGGGAAGAAGTACGGTGATTTTACCACTTGGTTGCCTCAATAGTTTAGGTTAGAGCTCATAGAAGGGGATCCCAGATTGCAAGTGGTGGTGAGAAGAAATCCTGCAAAAGGAGATGGTGAATTGAGGCACATTCTCGCTAGTCAACTGGATATTAGACTCCGAGTAACTACACATGTTCGTTTGCCGATTGAATCAATTTGGTGTCAGGACTGTATTAATTCTGGTGTGTAGTTCGGTACCATATTATTTGGTAGTTGAAAGCAAATAGTTGTTAAAAAAAATTTTCGCCAAGGTGGAGATTTGTTAGGAAATTAGTTTAATTTCTTTTAGATAGATTTCTTGTTTTGTGTGAAAGCAACTAGTTTCCTAATCGATTTTAGTTATTTGAAGTAATAGTCAAAGAATATTCTATTTAGTTTAGAATTAGAAGTTATTTCCTATTCTGTACAAGTCTAGAAATTAAAATTGGTTTCCTATTGTTATTTGAGTTTTAGCCAAATAATGTTCCCTATAAATAAATGGGTTGGCACACTACACAAGAGACACATAAGGGGCACACAAAAGGCGACATGTAGCCTTATACATAGGATGAGAGAGAGTTCTTGGAAAATGAAAAATGGTATACAAAGGTTGGATTTGAGTTCAAGTTGTATTATTGTATAGGATTTTCCTCACATAATAAAAAACGAGTTTTCTCTCCGTGGACGTAGGCTCAATGGTGGAGTCGAACCATGTTAAATATTGTGTGTCGTTTATCTTTCATGCTTGTGGCTTGTTTTTCATTAAATTGTTGTGCATTTGATGTCTCAATAGTTGTTTATTCCGCGTTTGGGTCCTAACAATATCTCCTAGAGTAATTTCTAAGGGTCACAGAGCCTATATATCTTGGTTTGTGCTCTTCCTTGCAAACAAGCTTGGCATAAATAACAACATTACCCGACTAAACTTCTAAGAGTTCCTAACATTCTCAACTGAACTTAAAGCCAAGTTGACATATAACTCGGGGAGACCAACCATGGCCCAGCCAACCAGTGCAAATTTTGCTGAACTATCCAATTATGCAAAGAAGCATGCATGTACTTCCAGTTTCCCATTAAACAAAGAAAAAAAAACGGTCCAGTAGTGTAAAGACAATCTTTCCTGGAGTCTACTGGTTTTCCATTAACTAAGCTCTTTCTGGAAGTTCCAACAGAAACTCAACAATGAGTTATAGCAGCACCTGGAAACCAGAGAAAGTGGATCTAGTACTCTCAAGATTCTATCCAGAATTTGAGGGGATTGTGGAAGGGCTGAGAAAGGAATGAGTGAAAAAGACTATTTGATGAAGGAACAACAATCATTTGCACACTTCTCCCCCTTGTTTCTCTTTTTCCTCTTTCATAAATTTCATCCGATTTTTCATGGTTGCTAGTCGGCCATACCACAGCATGGTGCAAAGATCCCCTTGAGACTACAAGCATAGCCTACCACGCTATAACTGAAGTCATAAACTAAATTTATAGCAATTGTGCAGTAAGTTATTGGCATCTTAAGAAATTATCCAACAAACTCCAGCAACTCATTAAGATTTTGTACTCTAACAATATTTGAAAAAAAAAGGACACAAATTTACAAAGCCTAAGAATAGTCCAACAATGCTTAAGAAATTGGCCGTGCAATGTCAGATAAAGGAAGCTGAGGCAGCCATGTTGGTGATTTTAATCATTGGTTGGCTGGGATAGTTAAATTAAAAAGGTGATCTTAATGATTGGTTGCCTGATCTTCAGATTCTGCTTGGTGATTGGATGAGGTGATTACAGCTTTCGACAGTCATCTTCAGCCGCATTATCAGTATCTTTCTGTTCCTAAACCTGCAAATCCAAGTAGAAATGACACCGGGTGTAAGTGGCGATCCTAATGACGGATATCTTGAAGTTCATATATCATCAGACAATGGTTAATTACTTGTGCTTCATCCTCTTGATTCTTCATCTTTTTACATTCTTCATCAGTTTCAATTGAGAAACAAACTATTTACATCAAACAAAATGCAAGATGGCACTGAAATGATTGTGGCAAAACAAGAATGAAAAATATGGGTACTTATTCAATCCACTCTTTCGATTTGCTGTAAACCCATTTAGTTTATGTCTCGATCCAAAACATTTTTTAGTTT